GACTCTTCTCAGTTTTACTCCACTTCTTCATTCCAAAGGTTTATTCCACCTTTCATCAGGAACAGGAGGTGTGCATACCTTTTATTTTGCCCAAATCCACACTATCTCTAGAGAAAGAAGAGTACCTTTTGGATGTCAGGAAGGCCATTTAAAAACTACCTGAAGCAAATCAGGAATCTTCCCCCTGACTATCTGTTTCTTCCTTTTCCAGTCCTCCTCTTCTGTAGGAAAAAGCATTGGCACATACTGTGAGAAACTCTTTTCACATGAGAGAAAAAGGACATCCTTCTCCACTCAGCTAGTTGGTAACAAACTTGCTTGGTTGTTTGGGGGTCTTAGGAGAGTGAAGGCTATCTGCCCTCCTGGCCCAATATTCTACCATCATCTGTTCCATTATTAATCTTGTTTCAGCCAGTATGAAACTTGGAGACAAGACTGAATTCCTTGATTGTTCTCACCACCAGAAGAAGCCAGTTCAAAAATTATCTGACTATAAGCTTCTGCTTATCAAGGTGGGTGGGAAGGAAAAACCCACTGTAAGGATGTTCTTCTCCCCTTCTGTAAAAGTACAAGTAACATGTTTCAGTATATTTGAAAAACAACAGTTGTAACCTGTACTTAAATAGCCTCTTTAAATTCTCCAAACTATTTGTGAGAAGAGACATTGGGATTTCAACTTTACAGAAATTCTCCAGGACAAGGAAGTATTCTCCAACAGTTCCTTGGAGGTGGGACTTACTATTAAAAGTGCTGCAGCTTTTTGCTTGTTTTTCTCCTCAGGATGATTGCTATTTGCAACAAAGCAAATTATCTTAGCACCCTGACCATCATTTCTTGTCAGAAAGTTCCAGCATCATGGATCAGTACAGGTGTCTAATAAGAGGCAGAAGCATTTCACTGTGCTCAGAATGGTGTCTTCTGCAGACCTGAATGTTCTCCAATTAGCAAATGGGACCTGCCCTCAAAACACAATCACTGAAGTGAGGTTCAGAACCTCAGGTTGAATATATAGCTTCAGGCACTAGCCCTATATTGAGGACAAGGGCTGCAACATGTGATGTTTTGAGTTTCTTCACCTTCCTTGCCCTGTTTTCTCTTTTTATTAATCTTCCTTGTACCCCACACCTGCTGCTGGGTAACTCTCTTCTGACCACAGCTGCTGGAGCGTGGAGGGTGGGTGTGCCAGAAACCTCTTCTCTTTCCAGCTCATACTTGGGACCACACACACAAAAATGTGAGGAAAGTGTGGAAATAATTTTGCCAAGTGGTGTCCTTTGTCAAAAGGAAGAAGAACAAAAGAAGAAAAATACCAGAAAATTTCTAAGAAAAATGTCTTCTAAGAAATGTTGGCTCAGCACCAGTTGTTAATTCTTCAGAGTTCTTTGTGGCCTCCCAAACGTTGTGTATTGAAGAGGTCAATGTAGATATATCTTGCCTTTATTGTAGAAGATTTATAGATCCTTCCCTATAAGCCTTGTGACGGGCTGTTGTATCGAAGTCCAAGAAAAAGGTGATGCCAGTACTGTGTCAACATTTGTCCTCCCAAAGGTTTTACTTCCCTAAGAAAGTCTGAATTTCCTGCCTTATTCTGCAATTATAGAAAGTATTATAGCAGCTCCCTCTCAAAAAACATGGGTGCGGGAACTGGGGCCTCAATGCCATCTCATTCTCTGACAATTAGGCCTTGATCCAGGAGAGCAAAATATAAATGTCCATAGGTACGGACCTCTAAGCTGGAACTCCAAGAATTCTGCCTCTGCAATTCCATAGGAATCCCAAGAGCTGCAATCCAAATTGGCAGATCCCTAGAGCTTACCAAAACACTGCAAAGTAGATAAGGTTCTGCATTTAGCTTTTTTGCTTTCTATTACATTTTCCTCCATGCTTGTCATCTGCTCTGTCAGCCCACAGGCTTTGCTCAGAATTATTTCTATGGTAGGAGTAGCAAGAATTTTATATGCCAAATACTGGAAAAAAGAGGAGACTCCCAACAACTCAGGAGTTAACAGAAAACTTCCTTCCTAGGTTTATTTATTTATTTTAGCAGCCAGCATATTGTCTTCCACAGACTGTTGAGGCTAGAAAAAAGTGGGAACTTTTGTATAATTGAGAACATGATGAGATGAGAACATGAATGGGTTAAAGTTATGAGAAAGAATATATAAAATATAATTGTGGATTTTAAAGGCTTAGTAAAAATGGCAGGATAAGTGTGAAGCAAGTTTAGTAAGAAAACACATCAGCAAAATTAACAATGATATATACTATTCTCTATCACATTCTGTGTTTTTTATTTATCCCAGTACCCTGTTCCCAAATTCCCTTTCCTATAATTTTACCCAATGGAAAATGAATAAAAGAAAAAAAGAAAAGAAAAAAAAGAAACGTATGGCAAGTACATGTGTCACTGCACGTGGAGAATTTCAGAATATAAATGACATTTGAAAAATATCAAGTGAGAGAGGGAGCAAGGGAGGGAAATAAGGAACTTGAGCCTCATCCATGGGACTTTATCTGAAATTTCTCTTTGTCTGAAATTCTTTTCCAATTTCTTTCTAACAAATTGAAAGAAAATGATCAAAACCCTCATGGGAAAAATGTTAAGCATAGTATTTATGGCAACATAATCTAATCACGCTTCCTGTCAATGAATGGAATCTGTTGTAATGGACATGACTTTTTTCTACCCTGCAGGTTACTCTTCCATTGAGGTTTTTTTTTTACATAAATCAAAAATGTTGCCACATTTTCTGGTTTTGTACAACAATCCATCTTTGAAAATATTACAGATTAGTGCCTTTTAAGTTTGGCATTCTTCCATCCAATAAGATACTTAATATATGAATAGAGATAACAATCACCCAACAGGCTAAAAGTGCTAACTTTATTCTTGGACGTATTTCAAGCTTGCTTTGGCTTCCAGTGTTGCACAAAATGTCAATTATGAGGTTCAAAAAATTTATCAGTGTAACTATTTATTTTCATTCATGTGGAGCTTTATTAAAGGAAACCGGTCAAGGACCCTGACAGTCCAAAAATATGATCTTGTTAACTTGAGAAGGGCAGGGATTTTGATAATTTAAATGGAACATTGCCAGCATGAAAGCAGAATTGATGTTTTCCAAGAATGCAGCTAAAAGATGCATTACCTACCCATAAATGGGATAAAGGTAGTAGCCACTAATTCACTTTACCTATATTAGAAAGAATGCTGAGAATTGGCTCCTTTCCCAACCATATAACCATGATTTGTTGATAATTTGAACTGGAGCACAGTCTGTTTTGTTGTCACATTTATATCCTGTCCTTCCTCCAATAAACTCTAGCTGACATACATGGCTTCTCTTCTCCTTCCTTTATTCTCACAACTGACCTATGAGATATATAAGCTAAAAGAGAGTGACTGGCCCAAGGGAAGCCAGTGAGTTACACAGCTGAGTGGAGATTTGAATTTGGATCTCACTACACATCCACCATACAGTGCTATAAAGAAGACATGCTAATAAATAGTGGGGAAGGCCTTCCACCCCTACCATGAACGTACACTCATTCTTCATATAAAACTATGCATTTAGTGATGGAATGCCTGTAGCATACTTTCTATACTTGTTAGTATTTGTATACTATGGATTTTTAGACTTTCACTCACTTTCCTATTGTACGCAGAGGCTCTCCAGTTGACCTCTGTGTGAACCAATATTGAAACTATGATTGAGAAAAATTGTTTTGAATTACTCTTGGTCAACACAGAACAGCAGGGCTTGATGAAATAACATGATCCAGTGCAAGCGAGCAAGCGCGATTCCACACCCACCCCAAACGTGCAGGGTTCTGTCGCAACCTGAATCTAACATGATTGCGGTATGGAGGAGGAAGAGACCTGCACGCAGGGAGGCAGAGATGCACATCTGCCCAGCTTAGAAGGAACCTTGGTGCCAACCCAATTCATGGGCTGAGAAGACAACCTTAAAGCTCAGGCAAAAAGGGGTTGCATGGATATATCTGAAACAGAAAGGAATCACATGTAACATTATCAATGGCTGGTATGTATTTTAAGAGAAAGTCACAGGAATAATATCAACTGATTTCCAATAATACCACAACAGATCCTGTCTTACCAACCCAGTTTAAGGTATACATACATAAATACTGTATACAAAATAACCATCTGACTTTAAGTTGAATAACTCTTTTAGAAGCCATGTCCTATGTAAATTCAACTGTTCTACTTCCATTCTTGATTTAATACAGTGGTAAATATTAGTAAAAATTAATAAATGTTTATCATTGGTTTCTCCTATTCATTATTACCTACCAATCTCTATAGCCAGTACTTCAGCTGTTGCATCGTTTTCCTCTGGTCTTTCTTCCTTTATTTTTATTTTACTTGCATTTTCCTTTCGCTTCTTCATTTGGTCAATTAAAAGTTGAAATTCAGCTTTATGTTTCTTTCCTAAAAAAAAACCCAAAATTATATTCCTATATAAGTATATATATTAAAATAGCCAAGATACTACTATAATAATGATTTGAAAGGCAATGAAATGCTTCTAGTAACAAATTCTTCACTCACAATTTCTAGCACAATTTCACCTAAAGTAGTTCAACTTTATTTAAGCCTAACATGTGAATGTAGATAATTATGCCTCAAGAGTACAAACCAAACTTCTAAACAGCCTCTTGTCTATAGCAGCTAACGATTTTTAGCAATGCAGCAGTTTTTCTAATCAGGAAGGGATGGCACTTATTTCCTCCTGCGGCGTTACAAACGTACCACAAATAGCTAGCATCTGCAAGCAATCTGGAAAAGTTTGTGTTAGTTAAAAAATTTATGGGAACCCATCAGTAATATTAGAGGAAAATGTTCTGCTCTGAACATGGACTATATGAGCATAATCGATTTGACCACAAAACACATGGAAACATGACTAATACACACAAACGCACACATGTGTATAAGACAGAACATGATTTCACTCAATACCACTTACTATAGTTTTTTTCTATTCCAAAACATTTCAGATAGATAGGACAGAAATACATCTATACCCAAATAGTTCAACTTTGGTGTTTGTTTGTTTTTTTAAAAAAAACTTTTCTGGCCACAGCAAATTAAAAACAGGCCAGAAAATAGGTGCTGTTACTGTTAGAAGGCAAGAAGTACCGTATTTTTCCGTGTATAAAACAGCACTTTTTCCTTAAATAATTTGAGAAAACCACGGAAGGCAGCTCTTTACCACCGCCTTTCATGAAGGCACGGGACTTCGCAAAAAGGGGAGGCATTGCTCCCTTTCTTTTTGCTAAGCTCCAGTCCCTTTGACAGCCACTTTCCTTGCCTTTTGCCAAGGCACGGGGCTTATCAAAAAAGGAGCCCATTGATCCATGCTTCTTCTAATTTGGGGTTAGAAAAGGAGGGGGTCATCTTATACTTTGGGTCATCTTATAAACGGAAAAATACGGTACCTCTCCTGGTTTGGGAACTCATACAATTTGAGGAGGGTGTTTGAGGATGTACAGGAGAGTCCTGCAGGATGTGTGCACAGCCCATATTTTGTGAATCAGTATGTGAATTACCATAGAGAATATAAGAACTCTGTTGTTGCCAAGTGAAAACCTGTGAGGAAGTAGAATGACCAAGTTACCATCTACTAATTCACATTGGTTCAGCAAGCTGCGTATTCAGTGCTTCCCAGATCATGCTACTAATTTCTTTGAATCCTAATCAAGAGCATCAGATCTGTCCCCCTAGATTCAAAAGGCGCATTCTCAAGCAAATAGGAGTAAGACTATAGCAATCTTTTAACATAGTAAATAATTTCTCTCACATTCAAATAATCAGTCTTACTCTGTTGCTATTTCTACAAGAATCTGGAAATTGGTATTAAATATTTAGGTAGATTCCTCTAGGTGTTTCAGATGAACACCGAAACTCTAGTGTAGAGATATAAAATTTCCAAAACTGTTTTGTCCAGAAAAAATTGAAATTTTTAGAAATTTTACCTCTTGATTCTAGTGTACACTTAATATATAGCTGAAGGAACAAAGTGCAGGAACAGACATGTACTCTGGTATGGAGTATGAATGAGATGACGTTCTCAAGAAAAATTAAATGCTTAAATCCAAGGTTGTAAAGTTTATTTCTCAAGACCAAACTGGTAACTGAAGGAAATCCTGATTAGAAGATGATGTGGCTTTCAATCTATAAATGATACAGGAGACTTTGAAGACTGTCTAGATTCCTCCATCTCTCAGAATTATCTTATGTTCTTATTATGCCCCAAAGAGGTTTTTTTAAAAAGAGTACTACATAGGGACCATTCAGTTTTGATTGTATTTGTTCTTGGCTTCCTTTTTTCTGGCCCAGGGTTAAAACTCTGTGGTGCATTTACAACTGTGTGACTCAAACCTTCTGAAAGGGTAGTTGCGCAAGTAGCTGCATAATCATGTAATCTGTTACACAACCAGGTACAGACTGCTTAGGACAACTTCCTGCCAACTTCTGCAAGTGTAACTTTATACTATGCCAAATGGAATAGGATTTCAGCCCATATTTAAGATGTATCCCAAATCAAAATGCATGTATCATACTGTATGTACATCTTTATTTCTTATTAGTTATGTGCAAGAGCAATTAAAACTGCCAAAGCTCACAATGCCCTCTTTCTCCTGGAAACTCTCAGCAAAACAAAGTAAGTAAAATTCTAAGAACAAGACTTTGGGATGTGAATAGTTCCAGTAAGGTAACATATTGCATCAGATAATCTTACCCCATTATGCACATTCTAAAATCAACAATCAGTTTCTGGATCCCATCTGTCCATAAATTGGGCTCATTATTTAAGAAAAAAAGTTAAACCAATAACAAAACTTCCCCCTAAACAATAAATTTTGATGGGCAATGGCCGATTTCTTTTTCTACACAAACCAAGATATAACCCAAGGCATGCATATCTTTATTTCATGTTTCTTCAGATATTCTGTGAACATCTGGGTTTTGTTTCTGACAGCTGTATATCACAGTCAGCCAATATGGCATTCAAGGGAGGCTTATGGTCTATGTGGGGGTAAGGAGATGATTGACATCCCAAAATAAGGAGTGAGGACCTCCACTCACTGGCCACCTAAATGGTGAAAATAGAGACATCTGTCTGTAAATCTCACCCTGGCAAAACTTTCTACCAAGCTTTATTTGGTATACTTGTTGAGGTGGAACAAGCTTTGAAAAGTTGATACGATACTATTCAGTGGAGCATTACATTTGATTAAACCGTAGCAGAGAAAATCAGTATCTTTCACATGCTTTGAAATGTTGCTGCTATGTTGCTCTGAACCCTATATGGCCTCTTCTTTATTTGTTTTATCCTGATTTTCCTTCAAAGAGTTCAGAGCATCATTTTAACATAAGGGCAAAATTTCAAAGGAGGCGGAAGATATAGACTTTTCTACCATGGCTCAGATAGGATTTAACAGAATTTATTTTTGCTGCAAATGAATACACTTTGCATCCCACCCTTCTTCTAGTCTAGAACATGGATCAGCTCACACAGATCAACAATACAGCTATAAGATAAAAATGTTAAAGTCTTTGTTCTTTTATGTGTAGTCAGGTTGTCTCCAACATATGGTGACCCTTATGAATATGTGTGCTGGCTGGATAGCTCTCTGATTTAAGTATCTGGCTGCAGATCCAGAGGTTGTGAGTTCGATTCCTCACTGTGCTTCCTGGGATAAGAGTCAGACTGTGTAGTCATTGGCAAGCTGCACACTCTAAAGATGCTCCCAGAAAAAGGGAACAATAAATCACTTCTATGTATTCTCTACCTAGAAAACTCTGGAAAGGATTGTCATAAGTCAGAACTCACTTGGCAGCACATAATAATTATGAATGAGTGAACTCCAAATGTTCTATCATTAACACCCCTGCTCAACTACAAATTCAAGGCCATGGCTACATTTATTGATTCAGTCCATTTCATATTTGGTCTTCCTCTCTTCCTGGTGATGCAGGAAGTCATGCAGTTCTTCTGCAGACATAATTTTCTTGTTAATATATAACTGCAGTTCTGCATTTGCAGTTTCTTCTTTTGCTTTCATCAGGAGTCATTTCAAGTCATTGTTGCTTTCTGCATATCTTAAATTACTGATTTTTCCTCCACCAATTTTCAGTCCCCCTTCATCTAAATGTAACCCAGCTTTATTATACTTTCTGCATACAGACTGAACAGACAGGGAAATAAAACACACCTTTTAATACATTTGTCTATGGAAACTATTCTGTAGGTTACACATCTGGACAATCAAGTACTCAGGCATCCACTTTATTCCCAGAACAATCTACAGTATTAATTTTTGATGATCCATATTGTCAAAGGCATTGCTACAGTCTGTACAGATTGATCTTCTGAAATTCTTTGGTATGTACCAGTAACTAATATATATTTGCAATATAATCACTTACACTTCTTCCTTTTTGTAACATGGGTATTTCTAGCTCCATACATGTTAAACGTCATTGTAGTCGCAACTTGAGTATCAATTTACTTGCACAGGAAAGTAATGCAATGGTCCTATATTTACTGTATTCTTTGGCATCTCCTTTCTTGGGAACTGGAATGAACACTTAACATTTCAAGTCTGTGGGTTGTTGTTTTGTTTTCCATACATGTTGGCATAGCCTTTGTAGGATTTTGAAAGCCTCAGTCTCTGTAGCTTGAAATAGTTCTAATGCTATTCCATCTACTCCTGACACAGTATGTTGGTCTTTTAGTGTTCCTAATCTAAGTTTAAATTTCTCTTTGATTCTTGGATCTTATGGAAGAGATCTCTTCTTCTCCCTCTTTTATTACCAGTACTCGCTTCTATTTCTCTTTGTAACAATTGCTAAAAAGCTACAATCAGGCTTCTGGCCCTGTCATCTTCTCACTTGTCGTTATGATTTTAAGTGTTTATTCAATCTTCTAAGCTTTTCTTTTGACTACAGAAATAGTTTTTTTGCATTCTTCATTGCCAATATCTCTGGTTTCAATCCACAGTTCTTCTGGTTCACAATCAACAAAATTTAGTAAAAAATTTAGTAAGGCAAATCTAATATTTTCATGGAGTTCAATTTATTGGCAATATGATTTCTCTAGTGTTTTTCTCCAGTTTTACTCTAATTACTCCCATTTGTGGTATTAACAGTTCATGGTCTATACCAGTGGTTCTTAACCTTTGTTACTCGGATGTTTTTGAATGGCACCTCCCAGAAACCCCAGCCAGTACAGTTGGTGGTGAAGGCTTCTGGGAGTTGCAGTCCAAAACTCCTGAGTAAACCAAGGTTAAGAACCAGTGGTCTATACCACAGTCTGTTCCTGATCTTAACTATGAATGTGACAGTTAATCATGAAGTGGGTGGATACACCTTGGTTTGGTGCTTCAGCTGCGACCATTCTTCCTTGAGTGACCCTGCTAGAA